TATTTATTTATTTATTCATTCATTCATTCATTCATTCATTCATTCATTCATTCATTTAACTTACATGCCGCTCCCGCTACCCAAATGACCGTCTTCAAAGGCAGCCCCACATAGAGCGTATTGCAGTAATCTATGAGAGATGTTACCAACGCATGCATAACTGTCATGAGACTCTCTCGTCCAGGTAGGGCTGTAGCTGGTATAATTTCCGCAGCTACATCCTTTCTCTTCAGGCAAGCTCTTCCTCAGTGGGGTTTTTGAAATAGATTGTTGTGCTCTGTTTTTTTTTTAAATCTGTTTTTATTATTGATTTTATTAACAATTTTTAACATAATACTTGTGTAATTCTTTTCAAATATTTATACAAGTTATACTTAAGTGTTTTTAGCTCTTCAATATTGTCTTTTTAATTATGTAAGCTGCCTTACATCCTTTTAAAGAGAAAGATGGAGTAAAAATAATTTAAATAAATGAAATAACTATTTTTAAGAAGTAACTTGCAGAGCTATGGTGCAGAATGAGAAAGGGAAGAAGCTGCTTTGTATTCAGTCAAATGTAGTAGTATGGTTGGGCCTTCACATATTGATCTTGGTACATTGATCAGTTGTCCAGAGTTTCAGATAAAGGTCTTCCTATGAGCTACTTGGAAATGTCATGAATTGAACCTGGGACATTCTGCATGCAAATTATGCAACCTTCTAATGGGGTATGGCTGTTGGTCAGGCCTTTAAAAATCCTTGGTGGTTCATTGTGTTAGATATTGAGGCATGTGAATGGAATGCTGCCTAGCAGGCAAGAGATACTAATGACATAAGATTAAATTCCAGTGATCACAGTAGGAAGTATTTCATCCTGCACTTCAGGATGTCTTATGACAATTTTCATGGGAATCAGGGCATTAAAACCAGGACTTTAAAAGACTGTACAATGCAACTTAAAGTGATTGACTTTGGCAGTGTTGTATCATCAGCTGATTCATTACCATGGTCATTGTTAGCAGGGAAAGCTGAGGCTGAAAAGCACATTCCTTTAAATGTTCTTGTTACTCATTTCTGATAGCTGTAAGGAGATCACAAATGAAATGATAGGAACCTTTTCCTTCTAACAATGAATATTGCTTCTGTCTGTTAAACTGTAATTAAAATCACCCTTCAGTAATTTTATATGGAGGCTTCAGCAATATTCAAGTATATTTCAATTAAAAAGATACTAATCGATCATGTTTTTTCAACTTAATAAAAGTACTAATTCTTTTTTATTGACAGTGGATCCAAACTGCTTCTGCAATGATGCTGGAGCTGATACAATAAATACAATAAAAAGAATTAAAACCCGAACTGTAGCTGAACCAGTAAAACCCATGTTTCTGGAGCTGATACAAAAAATACAATAAAAAGAATTAAACCCTGACTGTAGCTGAACCAGTAAAACCCATGTTTATATAAATTAAACACATTTCAAAATTCAAGGCCAATTAGTAAAATACTAGTAAAAGGCAGCTTTATATAGTTTGGTCTTAATTAACTTCCTAAAAAAACTGAGAGGATGGCACCTGACAAACCTCTGTAGGAAACTCATTCCAGAGAGAGCAGGCCATGACGAAGAAAGCACAGATCTTGATATTGGTTCTTCTGGCCTTCTTTGGTCTCAAGATGTTTAGCATCAATGACTGAGGAGCACAGGACCAGCAGTTTCCTTCTTATCACCTATATCTGAAATACACATACCCACATAAACATATCCTTTTGGAGCATTAAAATTATTTATTTGTTTGTTTGTTTGTTTAATTATTTATTTATTTATTTATTTACCACCCATGTGGTAACAAGGCCACTATGGTTCTTTGAAATACTTCAAAGTTGGTTCTTTGAAACACGTCAAAGAACACATCTTGTTTGTTATAATCAACTTTTATGTTTGATTATACATAAAGAGCATGGACAGAGTTCCTACTCCGGTCCTCTGAAGATGCCGGCCACAGAGACTGGCGAAACGTCAGGAAGAACAACCTTCAGAACATGGCCAAAGAGCCCGAAAAACCCACAACAACCAACTTTATGTTTTATTTTGCTCCATCTCTGTCTTGGCAAAAATTTTTCTTTAGACTGATAAATGCAGGTGTGCCGTATTTCCATAGTCTTCTATTACTTGTGGGAAATAAATTATTTCTTCCTCTTTTCTTTCAGAGGGCTGATATAGGCGTTTCAGCCTTAACCATCACGCCAGACCGAGAAAATGTAGTTGATTTTACCACCCGTTACATGGATTACTCGGTGGGTGTGCTGCTGCAGAAAGCTGAGAAGACGATGGATATGTTTGCCTGCCTGGCACCATTTGATCTCTCCTTATGGGCCTGCATAGCTGGCACAGTACTGCTGGTTGGACTGTTAGTGTATCTTCTAAACTGGCTCAATCCTCCCCGTCTGCAAATGGGATCCATGACATCAACAACTCTCTACAACTCCATGTGGTTTGTGTACGGATCCTTCGTGCAACAAGGTAAAAAAAAATTACTTCCCAGAAAAATTGAGGAAGGCTGTGCTTTAGCGGCAGAGTGCATGCTTTGCATGAGTGGGTGGCTATTATCCACTGAGCAACAGAAATAAGCTACTCTTCTTGCTGAGATATTTTTAAGAAAACATAAAGATACCAAAGGCACCCATTCTGGGAAGAGACATGACTCATACAACAAAAATGAGTGAGAAAAGAAGGAAGGGGGGGGAAGCAAATCATGTGAAGAAAGCTTGAGGAAAGAGATTAATCCTTAATGTTTCTTGAAGGCAGGGATTGAAGAACTTGGTGGAAAATATTCCCTAATAAGGAACAGCTAAAGAAAACACACCTAAACAAGACACAGAGGTGGGAATGGAATGAAAACTGGTGGCAGATAAGCAGAAGAGTGAGAGCTAAGCTACACACCACATTAAAGATATGGGGAACAATTCAACATCCCCCTTATGCTCCTCACATGTTCCAATCTGCCTCCTCATTGTAGAGGACATAGGCTTTCTGTGTGATCAGGAGGTGCTCCACACGATCCAGCTTGCTAGAAAACTAGGCTGTCCCTTGGAGGAAGTCACTGTCCATGTGGAGAAATCCATGAAACACGTGAGGAGAGTGCATGCTAGCCGGCTTTTCCCTCATATGTTAAACATGTGGGGAAAGGATGGCACCTGCCATGTTGCACTCTCTCCCACATGTTTTCACTGTGCTGTGTGAAAAGCATCTATTAGTAAAAAAATAATAATAACAGGTCTCTGTTCTTGAATTTGTAGCATGCCCTTCATTTCAATGGGCAGATTTAAAACATCAAAAAATGTGCTTCAGCCTCTAGCTTCCCCAGTTTATTACATAACAGTCTAATGGTAAAAGCACATTTGCTCTTCAGAGCTCCTGTAAATTTTCTGCTTCCGTTAGAAGCTTATTCATTTCATAAAGTGAATGCTATCGTCTGGGGGTAGCCTTTAAGAGAAACCTCTTTGACCTAATCTTCAGTAGAGCTTTTGAGTCCCATGGCTGTCTTCCATGACATACTCCTTGAACCCTGCAGGCCCATGTTGCTTCTGCTCCATTTGTTGTAGACCCACCTATGCTTCCCTGAACTTCTTCGCTATGTTCCCTTTCCCTTCAGGCTTTTATATCTACCTATGTTGGTCCCCGGTGCCCTTTATCTGCTCAGTTTCTTTCCAAACTCAGCCTACTCTGACTGATGCTTATTCACATATTCCGAATGAGTCTGAAACTGCTAACTCAGCCTTTGCACTCACTTCTAGTGCCAGTTTGTTTGGCATCATCATCACCACCATTGAGTTTAAGGCTGTATTTTTTATGATCATGCATGATGATGATGATGAGAACCTGTTATTATTTTGCAGTTCTTATTTCTCAGCATTGCTGGGGCATGGGAGCAGACTAAAATTAGGAGTAAAAAAAATCTGCAGGTGACATGACACGTTTGCAAAACCACTGATTTTTGGATCTCAGGAAGCGGATTAGCAGCTACTGGGAATGGTTTTAAATTGACAACGAGAGATTTTGGAATTACTCCAGTTGCTGAAATTATTATGGCGAGGAGGAGGATGTGGCTGTATTTCTGTACTTTTTAATTTTTTCATTATCATGATCATTACAATAGAATATGACATTTGCTCACCCGCTTCACAGAGCAAAGTATATTGGGTGTTTTGACTTGTGTGATTTATTTGCAAGTTCCACACTTGCAGCCTTCTTAGATGTTCTTAGAAGTGTTGTGGAATGATAGAATAATGGAGTTGGAGGAGGCCTACAAGGCCATTGGATCCAATCTCCTGCACAATGCAGGAATCCAAGTTGTATCTAACAGTTGGCTGTCTAGCTTTATCTTGAATGCCTCCAGTGATGGAGTGTCAACCACATCCCAAAGTTAAATGGTTCTACTGTCATGCTACTCTAACAATTAGGAAGTTTTTCCTGATAATCAACAAAAATCTGGCTTCCTGTAACTTGAGTCCATGATTATGTGTTCTGCACTCTGGAATGACTGTGAAGAGATCCTGGCCCGCCTCTACGGTATTTGAAGAATGCTGTCATATTTCCCCTCACTTTTCTTTTCACAAGGCTAAACATGTCCAGGTCTTCCAGTCTTTCCTAGTAGGGTTTGGTATCCAGTTCCCTGATCATCCTTCTTGCCCTCCTCTGAATTTATTCCACTTTGTCCACATCCTTCTTAAATGTGGTGTCCAGAACAGTACTCAAGATAAGGCCTAATCAATCGGAATGAATTAAACTGGAAACCAGCATATTAAATGGTTTGTGTGGTGCCTCCAAGCCTCATGGTTATAAAGAAAAGATTTCCTTGAGCCGTTGCACTTCTTGAATGAGTTTTCTGGACACCAAAGGAGATTCCTCCCCTCCCCCCACTTCTTCAATTCATTATATTTCTTTCTAAGCCAGGGAGAATCAAGGGAGACGTATCTCCTTCAAACACCAGATGTAAGGACCGGCTTTAATTTTGTTGAAAAGAAGAAAGCAAGAATTTAATGGACCTGGTATCAAAAATATGGAGATGCGGAGTGATTGAATAATAAAGATGCAAAGGGCTGCTGAATTCTAGTGCACTGGCTCAGGAGATTCATTTATAATGTCATCCAGCATTTCACATTCAATTTGAATTTAACAAAAACTATGTTAGCAGAAGCTCTATTGTTTACTAACCCCAGTGAATACAGAAGGGAGGAAAAAGCTGAAGGTAATTTCCAGTGACAGATTAACTGGTGACAATGCTAAGTCGGGCTTCTATATTCACTCCTCATCTGCTTTCAACTCTGGAAAAGAAGTCTGTGGCTTTATTTATTTTAGAATAGCAAATCTACCACTGTTAATTGTGATTGGCAGATCTTAACTGAGGCAATATGGGACGTTTGAAACATTGTCACGTTCACTTAAGAAGACTGCCTTGACGGCTGATTTAGAACATGACAAGGTAGTCATTCCTGTTATCAAAATGTACAGGCACAGCTCCTTCTGAGTCGTGCATTGAAAGTAAGAAGTCAGCATGATTCCCAGGCTACTGAAGGTTTACAACCTCTGAATTCTTTGTTTGGGGCTGCCTAATATGTCCTGGACCCACATCATCCTTATTTCCTATTGACTACTCATTCGCAACTCATTTCTTCCTGCCTTGGCAGAGCTGAAAGCAAAAAATAGGTCTTTGGCAATAAAAAAAATATACGTTAGGATTCAGCAAACAGGTTGTGCTATTTCGAATTGTATGCACATGTCTGTCTAGGAACATGTGTGTGTGCAGATAAAAATAATGTCTCATATTTCTTTGGCTCATTCCCACGTGCTCTTGAGGATACAGCTGTTGAATTCCTGACTAAGCACAGATTTAAAAAAAGAATTTTGTTTGGTTCACTATCTCAACTAAAGTTGCATTTTTGCACCTCCTGGTATTTGTAGCACAATCATATGGTGGTGAGGCTTATGGGGCAATTTGAAGAAATAACATACACACAGAACTGCTCGTACTTTAAAACGTCAACTGCTAAAATGTGTCCAGTTGGCAAAATATGCACAAACATGATTTAGCCGTGTCTGTACATTGGGTAAAATGCATAAACAAATGTGCAGATTTGGACAGAGTGTAGTTAGTTTCAATGCAGGAAGGAAACGCACAGTCTCACAATGCCAGTATGAAACAAGAATGGGAAGAAATGTGTGTGTGTAGAGTTTGGAGAAATGCAACAAAACTAAGACTGGGAGATTTCCACATCCCTGGGTTTGAATTTTTAGAATAGGATTTTACAGTCTTTGAGATGCTATTTATATTTCTAGACGTCTCGTTCGGCATTGAAGTCTGGTACAAAGGGGTATCTATTTCAATGCACATAGGTGGACCCCAGAGGAAATTTATCCTTTCTAGTCCGGTGAGAACACCTGGTGGTCAGAGTGACCATCAGGCATGGGATTTTTTTGAACTACAAATTACATAATTCTCTATTCTGGGAATCTCACATGAGAGACACACACCTACAGGCACACCTAAATGTGGCTTACCTGAAGAAAAGACCTAGGAAGGCTTCATAGCTTAGTATAGGCTTAGCACCACCTTTGCTTCCAATTCAGAAGAGAGGCTCCCAGCTAAAAGGCTTTTAGAACAGGCTTTTAAAAAGGGGCTCTCCCAGTTGTCCTTAAGCAGGTACAATAAAATATGATGTTTGTTTAACTAAGGAAGAATTTAATTTGAATATTATATAGTGTATTTTCCTGTGTATAAGACGCCCCCCATGTATAAGACACACCCACTTTTCTAAGCCAAAATTAAGAAATCTAAGTGAGGCTTAGCAAGTGTAGGGGGAAAGTGATCAAAGCACTGCAGGCTCGCTTTGATCCCTGCTTTCCCCTTTACTCGGTTTGTTTCTCTCCACAGCTTACTTCCGTATATAAGACAACGCTCAATTTTTAGTCTAAATATTTTAGACAAAAGTATAATCTTATACATGGAAAAATACGGTATATTAAAGGATGAATTTAATTTGATTGATTGATTGATTGATTGATTGATTGATTGATTGATTGATTGATTGATTGATTGATTGATTGATTGATTGATTGATTGATTGATTGGATTTTTACCCACCCCTCTAGACCATGTCTACTCGGGGCGGCTTACATAGATAAAAACATTTGTATTTTGCCAGAGATTATAGGAACCTCTATACTTATTCAGGTGTTCAGCATGGGATTAATGTGTTAGTATAAAGTGGCCAGGTAGCCCTACCCTTTCCATCATAGTTTTTTTTCCCCGAACATAGATAGAAATAGTCACCAGAGGATGGCATCTTTTGCATGTGCAGCCAGTCCATGTTGTAATCAATTCTGGCTTTTTCACAGTTCTAGGCCATATGGATGGCCTCAATTTATAGCCTTTTCTTTTCAGACTAAGATTCTCCATGTGAAGAGAGTCATGGCCAAGAAGGAGGGGACAGTTTGCTCTGTTCTCCCACACATTCAGATTG